TCACCAACAAATTCGGGAGTTCTTTACTTATCAGAACAATCAGAATGAGTTTTCGGATCTGCCGTATTTTCGTAATCACCATTAGACTCATCCAACTCTTTCCGAATCCTCTGCACTGTACTCAGATTGACACCCAAACACTCACAAATCTCATTCAGTAAACATATAATTAAAGTGGGTATTATTTTATGCATTTAGTGAACATTATCGAAAAAAATCACTTCTATCTATATATAAAATTCTGTGGCTTCCGTTAGTCCGTCCGTCTTCCACATCCTCTAAAATAGACATACAATGACCGATCAAAGCCAAATTTTAAGGAGGAGAAGTGCAAACAGGTAAGGGGTAAGAAGTACAGTTGGTTTTACTTGGGTGGATAGTACAATAAATTTACATTAATTTTTTTAGAAAGATTAAAAGTTTTAATATTTAACATACAAAATAATTCCACTATTTTAAAACCAATTTAATGATTAAAATAACAAATACTTATTTAATAAAAATGCAATATTGTTTTTTACATATCTTTTCTTTAAGTTTTTATATATATATAAATCCAGTGTTGTCATTGCTCTACATTTGTGAGAACTATAAACGAATCACAAGGCCAAACGCTTCAAAAAGTTGGAATTTGGCTCCAGAGTGAAGTATTGTTATAGTGGAACACACCTATTCTATAGTTAATAGACTCTCCCACCTATAATAAGTAGGAGTAGTAAGAGTAATGTCAGTCGCTCAGTGGGTCGGTCAGTCAGTCGATGCCGTACGACAATTAGTCGAATACTAAATCAGCCACCCCAATTAGATTACTCTGCGTTATACCTATTATATCAAGTTCCTAACATTTTGTATGTCGAACCTAATTTAGGACCGACTTAGTACAAATACAAGCCTCCACTGTGAAATCACTCCACAACAAATATTTAAGCATTGCCTGTTGTATGTTGTATGCTCAAGAGTAAGAAATCCTAAGAATTTATTCTTCACAGTTAAAAAGGAAAAAAATAAATTTTTTGAAGAAATATTGTTTACCCAGAAGTCCTATAAAATTAAATTAAATGAATGAAATTATTAAATCGTGAAAAAGTATTTTTTTAAGCTAATCAAAAAAAAATTTAAATTTCATTGATTAGTTTGCGAAATTGAATGAAATGTAGAGTTTTTAAATCTTGACTAAAATGTTTGTGATAACTTTAACAATACTAAATACTGTGAAGATTTGCAAAAAAATTCTAGTATTGAAAAATGCTACAAACATTTGTTTCAACCCAATAGATTTTCATTTTAGGAACATCTATTAATTTTCATTGCGATTCATCAGGCTAGTCTTGAGTTATCTTGTGGACCTATCATTAAAAGGAATGTCTGAAAGACCCTCTTCCTATTTGTGCTCTAACCAATGTAAAAGGGTAACTACCAATTACCATTTTATTCATTCTTTATTTTAATCTCTGATGCCCACTTGACTCAGACAAGAATACTTGAATACGAAATCTACCAACGAATTTGTGATTGCTGTCTTCTCTTTGTATAAAGAAAGTAAACAAAAAACAAGAAAAATTATGAAGGTTTCGTGCTTCCATTACTGACTGGCTGACATTATCAATTAAATCATCCCAGGAAATATAAACAAAAAGAAAAAAAAGTCTTTGGCAGTCTGATGTTACCCTCTTTGGTCGGATACATGAACCTTGCGTTTAGTTTAGATGAGCGTGTCAGTATAGATGTATGCGTGCGGTTCATTTTGAAAATCAAAACAGTCTTTAAAAGAAATGGAGAAAGGAAGGAAAGAAAAGAGCCATTTGTGAAATTACATTTGAATACATATTAATTTCAGGCGATAAAGATATTATCTCAATCAGGATGGCTCGGGTGGGAATGTTTTGTTTTTTTGTTTTTTTCCATTGATTATTTTATTATTTGGTATATGTCGATTATTTTTGTAATTGAAAAATTGAAAAAAAAAATTGCTGTTGCCAGTTTTATTTTAGTTTTTCTTTTTAATTTTATTATTTTATAGTTACTTGCTTATTTTATTAATTATAGCCAGTATTACAGGATGTGGGTAAAATAAATCACAGATATTATATTGTGACTAGCAGTAGAGCCCGGCGTTGCCCGGGGATATAACAGTAAGAGATAGATCAAGTATCCACCATCATAAAGACTGAAAAATAAAATTGACAAAGATTATTGTTTAAGGTTGACGGACACGCATGTCTTAATTAGTTTTATTTTTTTATTTTTTTTTTTTACGAATTGGTCAAACCCAAACTGAAACAAAAACATTGTTTTCAATCGTTATGAGTCTATCGATTGAACAGAATTTTATTATAAACAATTGTCTTGTAAATGGAATTTTTAAAGCATTCTGAATGTAAAAATAACGAAAAAAGTGTGCAAGACAATAAGAAAAACTACCTGCCAAAAAAAAAGTGAAGTTTTGTTGAAATCTGTTGAAAAATGTAGGAAATCCGATCCCATGTATAAACGAACACACAAACAACCTGGGTTTTATAATAAGTATAACTCGATATGAGTTGTCCCCCTTTCATTCTGGAGACAGAATCGTGTTTTCAAATTGATTTCGTGCAAAAAAAATTGTGTTTTTCCACTTTTGGGTGCTGTCAGAACCACCGCGAGGTAATTTTATGCAGTCCTGTGAAGTTTTGTTGAAATCAGTTGAAAAATGTAGGAAATCCGATCCGATATATAAACGTACACACACACACACACACACACACACACTCACACACACACACACAATCTGCGTTTTATAATAAGTAAGATGTTATTAGTTTTGTTTTGTTTTATTTTTTCCCTTTAATGACTTTTTAAACATTTATCGTACTCGTATAACGTGCGATCTTTGATACCCAAATTTCCACTTATAAAAATGATTTTATCATGTATCTCGTGTATCAGGCGAGTTCCTTTTTTGGAGAGACCAAATTACAATAGACTAACCTCTTTTCCTCTATCTCTTTATCCCATCTTCTACTTTAGGTACCTCTACTAATTCGTTATATGTAAGGTTTAAAATAAATTTTTTTAAAAATGAAAAAAAGCTTTCTTGAAGCATTCATTTTAGCTTTAATTGAAAGGATTTAAAATTTACTATTTCCAGTAAGCAAAACACTCTGTGGTGTATTTCAAACAGAAATTATATTGATAGGAATCGATTTTTTTGTTTTAGTAAAATCAATCAAAACGGCCATTTTTGATACATTTGTAATCCAAAGTTAATTCTTGGTTTTAAAAATCTTGCAAAAATAAAATATGCGTTTCCGAAATGTTATTTGAGAAAAACTAGCAAATTTAAAGTTAAATTAATCTGATTTGAAACAAATATTACTTACTTATAGCATAAAATGTTGTATACAAACATTTCTTAACTTTTCTGACGTGTTAATTGATTTATTGGTAGCCGATTGACCGCCGAACATGTTCATAGTTAAGTACAGTGAAGCAAACGATAAAGTTTGAGGGTTTTTCTTTCGCCGTAAGGTGGGGGACAACCCTTAAAATACATGGCCTTCTAAGGATAGATTTATTGGTTTGTACATCCATACTTCAGAAATTCTGCATGTAATCACACATGTAAAAACACATTGAAATTCTTTTAAAAATATTCGGTTTCATCAGATTGTAATAAGCTTTACGATATATGATTAGTAAATATAGTTTTACTTAATAACATTGAAGATGAATTTTAAAAGATTTATAAAACTTTATAAATTATTCAATTTAAAATTGTAAAAAAATGAAAACAAATCTTGGAAAAATCCATTTCTTGTCGATTTTTTTTTCTCCAGACAATATTGTCTTTGATATATATTATTGATAAACGCAATTAAAAGTTTCTCTAACTAAATAATGTCTTAGCTTTATTGCGTTTTTTATTTTTTGATTCAGAACAGATTTTTGGTAAGACCGGATTTGATTTTGCAAAAAAAATTCAGTGATTTAAATTCTTCAAAGAATTCAGCTTTTAACGAATATAGTCCCTAAAAATGATCATGTTGAATTTCTCAAGTTTTCATAAAATTAATTAAGGTAATGAAACACATATAAAAAAATATGTTCATCAAGAGAGAAACAAAACGGGGGTTGGGGGTGTCATAAATTATTTTCTGGTGGTGGTGGTGGGGGATCATAAATTATTTCTGGTGTGGGGGGTCATATGCCCGCCTGCGAAATCCTGTGTCTCCACCACTGTTTTCAGACTATTTTTGGCACCTTAGCCTGGTTGAAAAAATTTGTTGGGGGTGACATTGTGTCACCCCTCCTGTGCTGGCACCCAGAGCGGTCCTCCCCCCTCGCCCCACCTTAGCTACGCCACTGACGCTATATACTCGTTGTGTAAACGTCTACACAGCCATAAACAATCGAACATCTAAAACGTAAAAACAATGGAAAATATGCATATTCACGATTACTTCCATTATTATTGGATGCAGGTAAAGTAAATGGTCATTTTTATCAATATCATGTTTATTTTAAATACAGCTGTACTTTTTGACTACTTTTTGAATGGACAGTTCATACACTAATTTTACATATCGTGTATGATGCGACCCTCTTAAAATTAGCTTCAAAATTAGGTCTTCAAAGGTCGCATGATACGCGAGTACATACGGTAGCTGATTTTTTACTGTACTTTTTAACGATGAATTATTTCAATAATTTCTCTTACAATTTACAGCACTTAAAGGAAAAGAGAAACACTGATCTTGAAAGAAGCATTAAAACTCTCTTCAGCTATATTCATAAGCATAAAGTCATTACTGTGACTTATGAATTAATCAAGAGTAGTCTCCCATTATTTTGTTACTCTCCACTTTGAGAGAGCTATTTCTGTTTACTGGGACTATAAAAAGACACTATATGCGAACCTTGTATTCTCAATTGAATAAAGCTTTCTTAAAGCCTACACCCGTGTACTTTTGTCATTACACTGTGGTTCCTGAATGCCATAAGTTAAATAATTTTCATCCACATTATAAAATTTTGCAAGGAATTGCTGTTGCTATTAACAATAAGAGACAAAAAGAATATAAATAAATTGAGAGAGAAAGTGACATGATGTAAATAAACCGAGAGAAAGAGAGACACAGTTTAAATAAACCGAGAGAGAGAGAGAGGGGGGAGGGAGACGGTCTAAATAAACTGAGAGAGAGTAACATTCTAATTAAACTGAGAGGGAGAGAGAGAGAGGGAGACGGTCTAAATAAACTGAGAGAGACACACATTTTCAATTAAACGAGAAGAAACGGTCTAAATAAACTGAGAGAGAGACACATTCTAAATAAACTGATAGGGAGAGAGAGAGAGAGAGGGAGACGGTCTAAATAATCTGAGAGAGAGTAACATTCTAATTAAACTGAGAGGGAGAGAGAGAGACGGTCTAAATAAACTGAGAGAGAGACACATTCTAAATAAACTGATAGGGAGAGAGAGAGAGGGAGAGAGAGGGAGACGGTCTAAATAATCTGAGAGAGAGTAACATTCTAATTAAACTGAGAGGGGGAGAGAGAGAGGGAGACAGTCTAAATAAACTGAGAGGGAGACCCATTCTAAATAAACTGAGAGGGAGGGAGAGAGAGAGATGGGGAGACGGTCTAAATAAACTGAGAGAGAGACACATTCTAAATAAATTGAGAGGGAAAGAGAAAGAGGCAAGGAGACAGTCTAAATAAACTGTGAGAGAGACACATTCTAAATAAACTGATAGTGAGAGAGAGAGAGAGAGAGAGGGAGACGGTCTAAATAAACTGAGAGAGAGACACATTCTAAATAAACTGAGAGGGAGAGAGAAAGAGAGAGGGAGACGGTCTAAATAAACTGAGAGAGAGACACATTCTAAATAAACTGAGAGGGAGAGAGGGAGAGAGAGAGAGAGAGGAGGGAGACGGTCTAAATAAACTGAGAGAGAGAGACACATTCTAAATAAACTAAGAGGGAGATATGCTCTAAAACTCCAAATAAACTGAGAGGAAGACACAAAATAAACTGAGCGAGACAGCGTCTAAATAAATTGAGAGAGAGACACACACATTTTAAATAAACTGAGAAAGAAAGGTCTAAATAAACGGGGAGAGTGATACATTCTAAATAAACAAGAGGGAGATATGGTCTAAAACTCCAAATAAACTGAGGGAGAGACACGGTCTAAATAAACTGAGAATGAGACAATGAAAGTATCAACAATCTGACCAAGATATATAATAAGTATTAGGTTGGTGCAAAAATAATGATGTAATAATGTCGTTTTTGACGTTAAAAAATACGTTAAAAAAACGACATTATTACGTCATTATTTTTGCACCAACCTAATACAACCAAAATTAACAAAAACCCACAAAAGCATATAACCAATCTAATTGTCACCAGACTTTGTAATAGTTTTCATGTAAATTTAACACCCTCCTAATTTCTGCGCAAGAAATCTGTTTTTCTTTTGTCTTTGTGCATATATATATATATATATATATATATATATTATAACTTCAAACATTATTTTTAATAGATACCCTTGTTTGAAATAGAAACATTGTTTTTATATTTTAAAATGTGGGTATTAGCCAATTGGCCTGCGCTTTAGAGAAAAATTAAAAATGAAAATGTGCCTTCGGCATATTCATTTTCTTTATCAAGTTTTCATGGGGGTGCAAGCCAGTAGGCATAATAGACAGTTAAAAATAAAAAAAAACAGGGCGTCTATTTCAAACACGGGTATCTATTAAAAATAATGTCTGAGATAATAAAAATGCCAGATTAAAAAATAGACCAATTCATTCCTTAGGAATATCTTATCTCTATCTTTTCCCCAAGCAAGGCGATAATGCCACTAGGATGCAGAGACTTACAGTGTGAGAAACGAGAATGGAAAGACTTTAGTGGGTAGGAGAATGGAAACGGACAATAAAGTAACAGGGTTCAGGAAGACAAAAGATGATGTAATATTTAAATTTTTGCGGGTTATGGGGAAGCAAGAAACCAGAGACGAGAAAAGAATCTATTAGTATAGAACTGACTGATGCATCTAATTCGTTCTACAGCACAACTGTGAGACCTAGTTGCCAATCTAGTACTGCACTTAAATTCAAGCAGTTGAGGCACTAAGGAGAAAAGTTCATCAGAACAATTGTTGTTATAAAGTTAATATGATAGCTTAAGTTTAAAACAAACAAATGAATCATAAAATCCAGAAAGAAAATATAGGTCCAATGTCAAAAATCCCAATGCACATAAAACCGCTAGAAATCACCCACACCGTGCAACAGTCACCCTCCAAAACACTCCAATCGTATTCAAAAAGTAGCATCGCGCATGCGTAGCGGGGTGATTGTAAATGGCTACTCCTCTCGACCACACATAACATTGTCTCTTCCTTGTGACGTCAGCCATGTTGGATTTACACGCCAACGTGCTACATGTCTGCTTTGCCTGGTGCAGCAAGTGTATTCTCTTACTACAATTGCAATGAAAATTATAATTTGTAAAAGACAAAGGGAAGCCATGTCATGTCAGTGAGAAAGTGACTAAAGTCGAGATGCCAGGTTTGATTTAATTACATTATAGAACCTTCTTTGAATTTTGTCAGGAATCTTGAGATATATAGTAGGGGCACCATGCGAGATATGGCAGCAGTATCCAATGCACAAACGAATGGTAGATTGATATAAGTGCAAGAAGGATGACAAGAAGAATTGTCTGATATGACACAGTGAACCAAATTTCCCAGCAGTAGACCTCGCAGTTGATTTAATATAATAACCCCACTTCATGTCAATGGGAAATGTGTGCCCAGGAAAGCACAAGTGTTGATCTCCTGAAGTCTAGCATCAGCCATGCTGATGGCAGGCAGGAAAGGTTCTCTGTGGTGATTAAATGAAAGCAGTTTTGTTTTACAGGTGTTAAAATTGACAAGCCATTCTTTGCCCCAGTTAAACACTGACTGGAGGTTATTTTCAAGCGGAGTTGCTAGTTTTATTCGTCAGATCTGTTGGCATTGCTGTTAAGATTTTAGTTGTATCATCTGTGTAGATGCCTAGTTGGAACCTGTTGACATCAGGAAGGTTGTTGATGAAAATTAGAAACAGCAGATCCCTGCATTAATATGAAGTGAACTGTCCGTTCAGCCTAACCTTCATTACATGATTTGTTAGAAATGATTGTTATTAAGCCAAATATTTGTCTAGAAACTCCATAGTTCTTGAGCTAGTGGGGAAAACCAGCATGCCAATGCTGTTGAATGTCTTTTAGATATCTAGAGCTATAGCCCAAACTTTACTTTTTAAGAACGGCAATATTTTGGCTCTTATCTTCAAAATTCATTGAAAACCGTTAGCACATCAGCAGTAGACGTGCAGAAACGGAAGCCATATTGTTTATCTGAAAGGAAACTGTGTGAAGTAAGATGCTTAAACTCAGAATTGGTTTCAGCCTCTATTACTTTGCCAAAATGAAGTAAGAAACTAATAATTTCCGGGGTTAGAAGATTATCCAGAATTCTTAAAAACTGGGACTACAGAGGAGGACTTCTGACAAGCTTGAATGTAACAAATAATTAGGCATTTATTATGGAGTTTAGCAAGAACTGGAGCCAGTTCAAGAGTATATACATTTAGCATAATTGCAGGAATAGTGTAGAATTTGCAAGCCTTGTAAGGATCTACTTTAGAAATGATAGCAGAAACGATGGACAAGTTATGTAAAAATCAAGTCAAGAGTGGAATTGGAAGAGAATTTCCAAGCAAAGCAATCTGTTTTATCTGCAGTTAATGTGAACACTTCAAATTAATGGAAGACAGGAGAGAGTGAGGATTTGCTCTTGTCCAGTACGCTCTTGCAGCACCACCAGTAATCTATATACTGGTTGTAACAGCAAAATTGTCCAAACCATGTAACAGCAAAATTGTCCAGTCCATGTAACAGCAAAATTGTCCAAACCATGTAACAGCAAAATTGTCCAGTCCATGTAACAGCAAAATTGTCCTAATCATGTAACAGCAAAATTGTCCAGTCCATGTAACATCAAAATTGTCTAAACCATGTAACAGCAAAATTGTCCAAACCATGTAACAGCAAAATTGTCTAGTCCATGTAACAGCAAAATTGTCCAAATCATGTAACAGCAAAATTGTCCAGTCCATGTAACATCAAAATTGTCTAAACCATGTAACAGCAAAATTGTCCAGTCTATGTAACAGCAAAATTGTCCAAACCATGTAACAACAAAATTGTCTAAACCATTAAACAGCAAAATTGTCAAAATCATGTAACAGCAAAATTGTCCAAACCATGTAACATCAAAATTGTCCAGTTGTTAGATTAAACTTTGAAACGTTGTATCTTAGAAATGATTACCGAAATTCTCTAAGGTTATTTTTTTTAACACTTTTGGGCTCTACTTTGAGCAATAAGAATGTATAATTACTCTCCAAGCTTAACAGAAGAATGGTGATGAAATTGATCATAAACGAAAATGACATGTTCATCATTAATTAGTCATAGCTAAGGATTGGAAGCTCATGAAGGATTGAAATAAAGTTCAAATATATATATATATTATTCCAGGATCATTTTCTAACTTATTCAAGATGATCCTTGCCCTCTCTAACTTTCTAACTTTCAGTTCTGGAGTAACAAGTTGCTTCATAGGTTTCACGTACAATCTCATTTTTAAGCCTTTTACACTGCTCTTTGGGCTGTCATTGCTGAAACTCCTCTCTCACATGCCAAACGTCTTACGGATTGAGTTGGATCTTTTCTAATTGATCTCTTTAGCTGATTTGAAATGATGATGACCTCCTGATTCACTTTTTCTCTCTACTGTTCTCTCATTTTTAAACTTATTCACTGTTCTCTTGATGGTCATTGAATAGAATTTTAAGATAAAAGCCAGAGTATGAATGTTGGTACCATTACTGAAGGCCTGAATGATCTTTTTCCTCTCGCCATTGCTCAATTGGGAAGACACAAGATGATTTTAACCTGTTCTCTTTCTAGCTGAATAACCCAAAAGATTTTTTTTAGTGATTCTTACAACAAATGGTGTCAAGATGTCTAAACATCTTATCTGAAAACCTAGAAAAGAGAAGCTAAATGAGTTTACTGATTTTTTAGGTATTAAACATTTTGTGGGATGGACAATTATCGTATGCTGTTCCATGATTTGGACAATTTTGCTGTTACACCTGGTATCCTTGTCATTGTCCTTGTAACGGCAATCACCCAGGGTGGGTTGAGCTGGCTCTAATATTGGAGTTTCATGGGAATTTGGAATACACAAGCGGTCCCCAACCCGCATGTATAGCACATGAGATTTGATTATAGTGGTGAAGGTTTTATGCAGGACCATCCACACTTTTTGAAGGGCCGAATACAGAGGCCTGGTGCACTACGTGCCACAAGGTCCCCAAACGACCCTCCGCAGGTTTTGAATTCAGAGTTGTCCTTCTCCTAGACCAGTTGCCATCCAAGGCTATAGAACCCAGTCTATCCTGCTATTTACTGGAGGGAGAAGAAGAGGATTCACACCTTTCCCAAGGGTATTAGCACAAAAGTGAATGTAATGGATTCGACTGGAATTCGAACTTGGCTCTCCGATTCCTCAATCCAATCTGCTATCCATTACGCCATCCTGCCTCCTCACCTTACACCTGGTATATATAAAAGTGGACACTGAAGTCAACACCCAGAGTCTGTTTCATGCTAAATGCAATCATTAGACTACGTGTATCGTGTTTTTGCTCGACTATTTATATATACAGGTCATTGATGCATTGTGTGTATTCTATTGCATTGCATTGTGGGTAACCTATTGTATTATTCTAATCGTTATTTTGGTTGGCAGTAACTGATAACACAAGAAAAACAGTAAATTGATGAGACCTCATTACCAGTCTAATACTGCACTTAAATTCATAAAGTTTAGGT